TGGTACTCTCCCTTGGGTCTCCTGAGTCTTGTCCTGAGTCTTGTCCTTAGTCTTGTCCTGAGTCTTTCCCTGAGTCTTCCTGGTCCCTCGAGTTCCCCGTGTCTCTCTTGTCGCCTGAGTTCCCCGTGCCTATTCATGTAAGTTTTTGCTGCCCCGTCAGCTTGTTTATTTTGTACTTTTATTTTCCATTAAAACATATTTTTTGTATATCTGTCGAGTTGAGTCCCTGTTCTGCACTCTGGGTTCGCTGCTAACCGCAAACTACGACAAGCTGCAATTTCAACAACTGATTCTGCAGCTCTTTCATATGTTTATCTTCGCCTTCCATCTCTTCCTGGTATTTGGCCAGGTGATGGAGATAATGACATTCCCACACATCAGAGGCGCTGCCAGGTAAATCAAGATTGTCTATCATTAACTGTTTTACCTTCTCTGGAGCGCCCTCCAGCAAGGCCTTTCTAAACAGTTCCCTCTGGAGGTCATCACCATTGGGATGAGATCCAGTAGCAGAAATCCAATTGGACTTAGCTGATGACAAATGATCCCTTGGGGACATGTTTGGGTCAAACTTTAGGGTGGGAATAGTTGCTGCTCGGGGAAGGGGAAACATTTGTCTCAAACTGTCAGATAACTGATTCAACACCCAGGCAAATGGCACATGATCTGCAGTGTCCTCTGTTTGTGTTGCTCGTTCAACATCTCTGAGATCCCATGCCGTCATGACACGTGCAGCGACGGTGCGAAAATCCCCAATAGTGAGCATTTGCCCCCCTGTTAATTAATCTAGTTTTGAGAGCCACTTCCCAGCCCCCTCTGATATAGGAGGAAGCTTTTCCACAACAGCTTGTAAATCCCCAAATGCCCATGGCTTATATCTTCTCCCTCCATGATCAGTCAACAATGTCAATTGTTTATCATAACAAAACACATCTGTAGTGGGGGGTGCACTCAGGGTCAACTCACACTCCCTTCTCTTCTCATCCACCCTTGTGACCACACCATGCTGTTTCAGAGTCGATCCACCTGCTCCCGTGACCTGAGGCCTTTCCTGTCCACTGACTGTCTCATGTCCCCCAGCTGACCTCTGACCTGGGGTACTATACCAGGGAGTAGCTTCTCCCAAGCTGTAACTTGATTCATCATGTCTCTCTGCCCCTCCTATGTTAAATCCTTCATCATGCGTTAACTCAAGCTTTGCTCCTTCTGCTGTTTTAAATATGACCAATCTCCACCTTCCCACCTTAATCTCTGTTGAAACGGTTCTAACTTGTTCATGTCACTTGATGTGCATGCATGTATTTGTTTTGAGGGGTTATAAATGAAGGGATTAGTGCTCATGTTAACTTGTCTGCATGTGTGTAAATTCTCTGCAATGTCAACATCCAATTCACCTGCTTTTACAGTCAACACTGGATACAATCCGCTAATAGGAGCCACACAGCCCAACGGAGAGGCTGTCTTCCCTTCTCCATAAGGGGGAGGGGTGTGCCCTGCTCCCAGTTCAGCCTGTTTTTTCAGCGAAGCTTCAGCCCCCCCACAACAAATCAGCGCATCAAATAATATTCTTTGTTGTCTTTC